CTGGTTACTACCATGGCCAAAAGGAGTACTAGATATATTAGTGGTTACACTATGCAAAATAATTTCACCACTAAGAGATCCAGAAGCAATGTAGCAATCATTCCAATTGTATGTTACACAAGTTACTTCATCTTTATGATCCTGAAAGAGAGAAATCCAAGTAAGCATAATGTTCTATACCATCCAACAGCCCATTTTCATAGTTTCATTACATTTGTCATATATTATCTTAATATTTTCCTGAAATAAGTTTAAAAAAAATTCAGATATGTAAGGAACTATAAATCAACACCAAGTCTTCCCAGGAAACAATATTTACCTTTCATAAATATATTAATGGTCTAAGAAATCCGAAACAAGAGACAGTATAGACGGGTAATTTTTTAAATGCCTACCTTAAAGAATCATTCTCACTTACAAATAGCATTTATTGCAAGTTGACTATTAATTAGTATTACCAACTGAGAAGATGAAACATTTATATTAACATGTAAATGACACAGCAAATGCTGAGTGGTAGAGGCAAAGTGTCAAAAAAAAAAAAAAAGAAATGGGCTATTACTCTGAACTAGTTGACATAAGATATAAAACTTGAGTTCAAATTTAAAGGGCTGGGAATATACAACAGTGGTAGAACATCCCTGGATTAAATTCCCATTCCCTACCCTCGCCACATACACACAGAAGAATACAAAGGATAAGAGGCAAGTCAGGGGAATAGGAAAGAAACCAGACATTGAAAATGAAGAGAGGAAAAACAAATGAGCAATGAGCAAGGCACATTCTGAGAGATCACACAGCAGCTGCTTAAATTTGCTGAGTACCTACCCATGCTGGGAGCTTTATGTGCTACTATTTAATCTTTAGGAAATCCCAAAAGGCAAGGTCATTTTACCCATTTATAGATAAAGTACATGAGGCAAACAAAGGTTAATAAATCCATGCAAGCTCATATAAAAGCTAAATGACAGAACCAGGATTCAATTCCAGGTCAAACTCCAAAGCCTATCTTCTTCCCACTATAAGACTCCCTCTCAAATCCAAATGGCAATCCACTTTGATGAAATAAAGTGTAGGGTTTTAAACAAACTGAGTTCATAAGGACTACTTCCCAATAGCAAATTGAAGATGTTTAATAGGAAAATGAAAAAAAAAAAATCAACATTTGCAGAATAATCTTAAACAGTTTTATGCCATAAGATAAACTGAATGTGGTACCTAATAATTAATGTCCTATTAAGAGTAGCTACACATCCCACATATTACAAATTTATTACTTATATTACATATATTACATATTTTCAAATGATCCTTCAAGTATTTTCAGAAATTTAC